TAATTGGTCTTACCCACTCTCGCGTTCCGTTAACGCTACAACTACGTAGTTCAGAGCTTGGTGGGGGAGGAGTTGCCGATCGGCTTGCTGATGTCAGCCCTACTACTGTTTAAAAACAGGTAAGTGAGTTTCTCGCACCGCGATTGAATGTCTAACGACATGTGCGTGACGCATTGGCTGATAGCCAAGACAAATAGAAGGAACAAGTTGATGCTAAAGGCAGAGGTTGTATTGAACGTTATGAGGTCGGAGACCAAGTTCTTCTTAATGCTAAAAACCTACCTACAAATGTAGTGTCTGCTGTCGTCAAGATAAAATTGCGTCCGCGCTTCATTGGACCATTCAAGGTCTTCGCCAAGAAGGGACTTGCGTCTACGCTCTTCCTTCCGCGCAAACTGCGCACACATTCAGTGACCTATGTTGTCCTTCTTAAGCCGTATCGGGCTCCTTCCCATGTGAACTTGAAGGCGCTTGCGCCGCGCAAGTTGGCCTTTCCATCGGTTGCTATATCCGTATCAGGAGGTCAAGCTGAGCCTCCATCCGGGCTTGACCCAACTCCAATGCCTGGACACGGGCTTGACCCAACTTCGACACCTCAACACGGGCTCGCAGTGCGTCAAACGCACTCTAGGTCGTACCCAATGTCTCACGAAGAACACTCAGCTCGAGAATCGCCTTCTCATGCTCCTCCTTCGGCATACCAACTACTTCCGACGCTGCTCGATGAGCAAGGGAATGTGCTTGATTGTTTCGTGTGTGCTTGATTGTTTCGTGTGTGCTGCATTTGATGGTAGATGGCACAATGTTGCTGTGAAGCCCCTATAGCTCAGTGGTAGAGCACTCGCTTCGTAAGCGAAAGGTCGGTGGTCCGATCCCGCCTGGGGGATTTTCCTATGCTCCCGAGCTCTTGTTCGTTTGCTTGTTCCTTTGGAGGACTAACCACCACCATTAGGAGCTTACACAATCGACATCTTCTTCCGAGTCGATCTTGCTCACTGGTCGTTGCACTCGAGGGCCCGGACATCAGTGAGTCGCTAAAATATTATCGTATTTCCAAGCAGCGCCTTTTCACTAATCAATAGAATAGGGAAAGATAGCGAGTCTCGTTGCTATGCACACTTTTCTATGTGTTTATCGTCGACGTCATAGCATCGTTTCGTACGCTGTGCTACCGCCATTTCCATGTGGAGCGACTCCTGAAACGACGTCGTTGTCAAGGTCAATACCGGTATCTCGTGAAGTGGCGAGGGTACCTGAAGTCGGAAACTCATGGGAGCGTGAGATGCCCCTTCGGCAGGATTGCCCATACGCCTTGGATAATTCTTGACATCGCGGCAAGGGTCCTCCTGTGACCAAAGATGCTTCTCACGAATAGTGGTGGAAGCAGGTGCGTAGTTGGCACCGCTTGACCAACGCCCGCATCAGCTGGCCCAATGGAGCATAGCGGGTGCGAATTCGCAACTGGCCTCTAGCTTAAAGCTTGGCGTAATAACACCGAAGCTTTCGTTTTAGACGAACTTATGCCACATCGTCACTTGCTCTGAGAGCTAACACGCCGCTGTGGTGTCGTTTCCGATGCACCCATCGAACAAACGCGTTGTTTTCTTATTCCTGAGATTCGCCTGCGAATGAGAGGATGGGTAAACCCTTCATCGGTGAAACCGATGCACCCCGTGCTTACGTGTCAAGTCGCAACTTGTATTGACTCCAAGTCGTCAAGTAAGGTTGCAGGTACCTCTCGCGAAATACCTGTCAACTCGCCACCTCATCAGAAGATGTTGGATCAGCGCCAATGGCCCACGTTGCCATAGAACGACCTGTCGGTTGGCGTATACGCTCTTACACACCGAGTAGCGAAAAGATACCCACGGCGACCCTGAATGGTTGCAGCAAGCTGCATACGGCGCTGAGCGCTCTCCTCTCGTTGGATAGCCATTTGATGTTACTCATCGAGCGGATTGGTGATGATGGCATCGCACGCGATGGGTGTTTGATGCGGCGCCGGTGGTGCGTTAGCTTCTTCACGTTCGGCAAATGGGGTTGGTGCAGTATGAGGCGCATCCTCTGGCACAGATGGTTGAACATTTATCTTTCTTCAACATAATCATCTGAAATGCAAGCATAGTACACCTTCTCGACGATACCGTGGTATGAAAGTGTCGAGGACTCATGGGGTGGCGATGCCATGATGTTGACTGCTTTACAAACGTGACATTAAGCGCATATACACCGTCTTCTCGTGATTTTATTTGTTTAAAAAGGTTGAGGTAACGTCGGTCTGGTTGGGTAGGGTGTAACGGGGTTAGACCTCGACTGGTAGTCTACATTAGGTGTGTTTTACGCAAGGTCTAACCAAACTACTTGTCGACTGGAAGCCGACAATAGGTGTGGTGCACACAAGGGATAGGATCCTATTTAAAGTGGTAATAGAATACCGTACCAATTGTTAAAGACTAATGTATGTCAACCTTTGATTATGAGATCTTTCGAGAGGAATTAATTCGAACATCAGTGACTAGGTTAAGTACATTGTTTAGAGGTGTTCTGTTAGATAAAGAACATACAGTTCAGTGTCCATTTAATCCGAACGACACGTGCCTCTCTGAATCGTCTTGAGATTGTCAGAGGAGTTTGGCGTCGCCGTTAAAGGCAGCTACTCCTTGTACACTCTGCGCTGTAATTCTCTGAATCGTTTCTTCCCCCTGGAACATAGACCGTAAGCTCTCTGAGCTTGTTGACTCTTTATGTCAGGCTCTTTGTACCAAAGTTGCTCGTAGAGCGTTAAGTCTTCCTCTGACTTAAGGAGCTGTGTAGATCAGCTACATATATGCTCTAAGCGCTTCAGAATAACAATTAGGCAATTTATTTGCCGTTTTAACACAATCATAGCTGCTTCTCATAGCCGAACCGTTTTTGCCACACAATGCACTGTGTTGACTGCATGCGTCTCATTCTATCCTACTAGGTGTGAATCTTAAAAGCAGTGCTCTCCGACAGTTGTTTGCTTACTCACATATAATAAAAGCCACACCAATTCCACCTTAGTGCTCTTGCAACCATTGGGCTCGTGGTATAGCACCGTATGCCTTCACTGAGAGAAGGGTATCTCTTTGCTCCCATCGTGGCCTGTTTGAAACAGAATTGCCACACTCATTCGGTCTTCACCTCATACTGAGGTGCAAACTTCTCCTTGCTTCCATTTTGCCTGTTTGAAAAAGCATTGCCACTCCCTCTGTGTCTTCACCTCATATCGAGGTGCAAATCAGCTGCACACACGACGTACGCGCTCCTACGGATCTTCTCCTCTCCATCTTCATCAGTGTCTCCTTCCAGCTATTTCTCGAATCGTTGATTACACGCACTGCTGTCAAAAAAAGGCATCAGAAGTCAGTCCTTCCAACATATCATAGTCAAAGCTCTCGATAGGGCGTCGAGCACTTAAGACGTGACGATCGTTTCGTCCGGGGATCGGCGTCGTCGCTGGCTTCATATCCATCTTCTTTATACGCCCTTTGCTAGATCATACACTTGCCGTCAGCAACTATAACGTCCAAAGACGGCGAGGCAAAGTCGCTTGTCGACTGCACGCGAGGCACAAGTATCTATTGCTGTAGCTATCTTAGCAACAGCACTCACCCCTTGGTTATCATTTGTGTTCGCCTATGTGTCCGCATCGTCTTTAAATTCTGCGGACACCTATGGTATGGAACGTTGTAAATCACACGCAAACCAAAGTTGCCCCGCGCACAATCATATATGCATTCACATCCACCAGCAGCGCCCTCTTTGCAAGAACACGTTGACTGCCTCCGAGCTGCTCAGAAAAAGAGCCCATTTGCTAGGTCTTGTCCAGCATGGCGTGCTGACATCCGCAGCGCGCAATGCTCGACAATTTTGCCACTTGCACCGGCCGTTCGGTAGTCCACACACCTTTGTAGCTCTCTCGAAAGCACCTCTCGAAGCAGCTAACGTCGAACGGGACACGCATCTTCACGCCCTGCCTCGAACTAAGCGTCTCGAGCAGCGGTTCAGCGCTAGGACTGATGATCTCGAGCGGAAGTCGCTCGACAGTCGTCTCGAGCTGCGATTCCTTTGCTGCATATCATGTAAGGCAGCATCCTGAGATCGATTCTGTACGGCATGTTGTGGCCAGGAGCGTCTCAAGACGCTTGTCTTGTATTGTGCTGTGTGTCATGTGTGTCTGGATGCGGAATGGTGCAGCGAAGAAGAGCTGGCACCATGCAAAGCGTCCGGATGCCGATCATTTCTTTCGAGACTTTGCCAGTACTACGCGATTGTCACCTTCGCGCAGAGTTTTGTTACCAAAGAAATTGTGCTGACGCTCGGCCTCAAGCAGGATGCGCTACACGTTTCGTCGCGCGATGCGACGCGCTATTGGAATGGCGCTCGCGCGGAGGACTTCGTCGAGTTGGAGCGGACCTGCGTCAAGTGGTAATACTGGACCATGACATAGAGCCTGGTCACTTGCAGTCAGTGAGTGCCCTATCTGTCAAGCCTTTCGCTGACGGGCGAGATCGCGAAGATCGCAACGTGTTATATTTCGACTCGCAAAGCGTCGGTTTAGAGCAAGTGCTCAAGTCTATACCAGTAATAGTTTGTGACTAATTTCGTGCCGACGACTACGACGATGGGGTTCGTGGTCTTACCGCGAAGTTTGGTGCGCACGCGTACCAAGTTGGAAAGCAAGCGGGAAAGCAGTCGATCAGGGTTTTAGCGTGCTCGTCCGTGGACAATTGTTGCTCTACCTGTGTAGTAATACGCACAGGTGCTAGTGCTGGTACCGAGGATTTCCTGCGGTGCTCGAATGAGACTGATAGACATGCGCCTCCCGATGAGAGTGAGAAGGCCAGGCGACAAAGAGCGTAAGAGAAACAAGACAAGAACGAACGGTCAACATCGCTGATGATGCGAGATTTGTGTGTATTATCAGCTTACGATGCAAGTAAGCGCGAACAAAACACCTTGACTAACGTTGCCAATTACAAAATCGGCCCGGGAGACCGACCCATGCCGTTTGAAGTAGCTACCTGCTTTCTGTGCGCGTCCTCAAATTTGCGCAGAAGTTTAAGCCGTTTATCCACATTGCGCGAAAAAAGCAGCTTGACGAAGAACATTAGCTTCTCAAATTTTTTCATCCTGTCAAAGCGATCCTTCAGCGCGTTTTGTGGAAGACCTACCGCCGTGACGAAGTCTTCAGGTTTCGCCTTCGCTCGGGCAATGCTGTCCATGTCGACGTCGCCATTCAATTTCAACCTTCCCTTTATAAAGTTGACCACCTCCTGGTCGATTTTCATCGGCTCTGAGGTAAGTGGACCGACGTCTAGACCAACGCCTGCTTGTTCAGAAGCGCTTGCCTCCCCTCTCAACAGTCGGGATTCTGATGGGTGCACAGTTTGAGCGCCCGACACCTGAGATTCCACTGCAGCAGCCCGCGACGAAATGCTCTCGTGTTGTACCACAGCTGCCGCTAGTTGAGGACCGACGTCCATGGCGTGGATGGCAGCAACCAAGTAGACAGCGATGTTGAGCGGGCGCATGGTGATGATCAGGCGCTGGTGTTGACGGGTTCCAATTCGAGAATGAACAAATCCTACGACCGCGTACGCTTGGCTCGTGTCTTTCGGTGTCTCGAAAGCAGGCGAGAGATAGAGGCAACGATGAGTACTGATGCAGCACAACAAATCGATCGAGATTGGTTTGCTTGTTCAGACACGAGTGTATTGGATTCAAATGATTTTCGAAAGAACGATCCGATCCTGGAGAGTTCTTCGACGTGCTTCGCCGTGTGTACGGTAGCTTTTCGTCATGGTCGTGCACGCACGTTCATCTTTTGCACTATATAAGGGGTGAGTAGCTCTTCGACGCCGATCTTTTAAAAGTCGGCTTGGAGCTAGCAGCTGCAGCGAAGCTAACGTTTACGACGCAATGCAGTTCTGTATGATTGATCAGCGGGGGGTTGTTTCGTCAGCTTGCAGCTGCGACAAATGTATGCGCATTTCGACAGTGTCACACGTGGGGCCCTGATTCTGGTCCGCAGGACTACTCAGAATATTTTGTTCCTATGTATACCCCCCATATTTACACCGATTGTTTTGGAGACATAAATGCCACAAACATATTGAAGCTGCGGCTGCTAGTATTACTGTCGAGGCATGCTTTGATGCACGCGGACAGTTCTCACAGCCCTTCTACTATGATCCCGCTGCTTTGTCTACTGCGACAGCCACGCGTTTTCCGCCTGTCGCAGCCGCTGCTGGATATAGAATGGTCCAGAACTACCGGCGCACGCAGACGCGGGTAAAAAGTCGCTAGCAGATCTGCCAACGGAAACTGACGTGGACAGGAAATATCCGCGTCTGATTTGTAGACAAAAGTCAGGCGACGTGCTAGCGTGCTCTCGAAAGACGGCATGTCTACGTACCCAGCTGCTATCGCGATGACGTTATAGACGTCGTCAATGTGTAATGAAACGGAGTACAATGTGCCTTTACTTAGCATGGCACGAGCTACCTACACCGATACAGTTTAGGCATGTGCTGTAAATACTCTCTAGCACTACTATACGTGCAGAGGAAGGCTCGATCTTGCCAGGTAACTGGCAGGACTTTGGATAGATTAAAACACAAGGCGACATACCTCCGAAGTCACGTACAGGTGGCGTTAAGAAGCGCGAGGAAGTAAATAGAGTCCGAAAGATCTGTTGAGGGAAAAAAATAGAACAGGGTAACATGTAGTAATGTTTCTGTTAATAAATTATCTTTATCTTTGTCTAACTATATTAAACTACGATCTCCTTAGTGGGTTTCTTGCTCACCACCCATTGCGCGCGTCCAGCAGCGATTGGTGGTTAATCTGGTTGATGTACTGTGTACATCAACCTTCAAGTGAAGCCCCCCCAATAATGTTACCCTCGAGGAAACATTCTGTCAACACCACCTCGCATCGAGCGATGTTGTTTGAATATCATCTGAATAGATAATATTCAAAAATTGGTACTTTGTTACCAATTTTTGTGATACGGGCTCATCCCGTTTCACCACCCCCTTGACAAAAGTCACTACAGTGAGTGATTTTTATTGTTTGGTGCCAGCGTGACCACCGTTAGGTCGCTCTGTGGGAAAGGTAGCACTTGGTTGTTTAACCCAACTCATCATTGCTTCCAGCGCATGACAAAATCATTCATGCGCTGCGCGAACAAGGCCTCCGCTGACGCCGCTGACGCCGCTGCACGGATGCGTGCATCCGGAGAGCAAGCCTCCCGAGACTCAGCAATATGTTTTTCATCGCCTACTGCTGATAAGCAGCCTGCAATACCCAATGTTGCAGGTGGACGTAGTCATCCAGGTGTAGCTTCTTCAACCGCAGCTTCGGCTGCGGGTAGTAGTCTCATGGACATTGATTTAGGAAAAGAAGTTATCTATTTAGGCGAGTTGGACTCCTCGTCCAACCCGAAGTCGCCCGCTAAGCCCGGCTGTGAGGCTGTGGGTGCGGAAACGACGACGGCTGAACCATGTGGCAGTCTCAACGAGTCTTTGCGCCATGAGATGTTTGATTTATCCGACAGGTCAGAGCACTCGTCACAGGGATCGAATCGATCGCACTCGCCTTCATATAAAGCGAGTACGCTACATGAGGACGTTTGTCATCATGACGATGCCGATTAAATTTCGCGGATTCAACGTAGCCGTAACAATCCCAGATATTGCAGCGATCGCAGTGGTATTAATTAAATCGCCTCTGCGCAAGAAGAGCCGGATCGCAACGTGTTGCTATCTGCTCCTGAAATAAACGATGGATGCCTTCGTAACGTAATCTGAAGTAGTGATACGTTTATACCACTGGGAGTTATTGGATCCCACTTTTCGATTCGTCAAGCCTGCATGACCATGATGTCAGTGCGTGTGATTACCGCATTGAACATGCGTTTTACATCGATGTCTTTTTCGGACATCGATAGTTTCACGTTAACCATAACCGAGACGAAGTTTCGTTGGATTCAACGTGGAACGCTTTTATCGTAATCATCGCGGATGTTGGCCGTGACGCTAATTTAAACAGGCTTTTGCAGTTCGAAATTAGTTTTTACAGAGGACGCCAACCGGTGCTCGGTATAAATTGCACCGATTATCTCGAGAGGCAGACTTACCTTGCCTCTTATGAAGAGAGAAATTTCAGAGTTGTGACGACAACACTGTTCGATCCCCTAAAAAGCCTTCCTCTATAATTAATCCTATTGAAGGGCGCGCATCGCGTCTGATATATACTAAGGCATTGAAAATTTGCAAACCCTTTACGAACGTACCGGGCGTTCATTCGACGATGGCGCTCCATCGTCAAAGGAGCGTCTCTTCGTACTGCTCGACGAGACCGAGAAGATCTATTATCAGCAGAGAGCGGGGATCTCAGCTATTAAGCGAGGTTGGATACCCCCGCCACTGGACGAGGTAACTCGTCCTTGATCCTGAATCGTAACGGTACATCAAGATACGCTCCACAAGGAAGGGTTGACCACCGTGTGAGCCCACCAAAGGATGGTGAGGAGAAGGAAACCTCCTCGAAGCCGTTCGACTCACCATCTCGACCAACACGATATCGAATGCGCAATTTCTTCATTGCGCGAGGACTTAGAGCATGAAAGGGACAGACGCTATACTCTGGAAGATACTGTGCGGAAGCATTGCAAAGTTCGGGAGGCTGATCGTGCGAAGGGTCGCATGAATACGCCGTCGAACAGCTCCAGATTGAACGGGATGTCCGTTCCCTTGTAATCGAACTGGCGACAGCTCGCGGCGAGATCTCCCACTTTCGTGGAGAGGTCTCGTATCTGCGCATTCAGATTCATTGCCTATGGCACCTGCGCAAAAATCTGATGGATATACTTGAACGTGAGGGTTATCTTCACCGTCGGAAATGGGCTAGTACTGAAAGTACGGGCAACTGCCCCACGTAAAGCGTACGATGCGTACGCATCCTATGTAACAATTCAATCGTGTATGCGTTGCTTTGTAGGAGCAGTAAACGAAAGGGGCCGATATTGTTGGGCAGTAGTTTACTACTGCCCACATTAGTCACTACTTGTCTAGGTAAAATTACGGTAGAGCGTAGTACAAACTCTACTTTAATAAATGAAAGAACATTTGCTCTTCCATTCTTGTCAGCGCTCTGTTTCTGCTGGTCCATCGCTTAAGCGATGGAATTCTGCTCAAGGCGGACTACTGATTCTCGAGACAAGAGTAATCTTTTTGCTGACGCGACATTGTTTTGTTCAGTTCGCCTTGTGCAAACTGCAGAAAGAGTTCTCTTCTCTTTCTGTTTATTAGTGAGGGTGTTATCATCTTTGCTGGAGTAGTCATTGGCGATGCTGTTAATACCAGCATCTTGATCGTAACTTGATATAATAACAGCGCCGTGGCTATTATTGAGATGATCTGCTTCTTCGATGTCGACCTGACCGACATCGGCATTATACGCAATGACGTTCGCGTCGGCCCGTAATGAGCAATATCCAGAACGGTTTGTGCTTAAGCGATTTCCTCCCCCTTCTTATCCAAGAGTTACGTTCTAAGAGGGTTGGCAGACGTGGATGGCGTAAGTTATTCACAAAGAAAGGTGTATGCTACATTGAAGCATGCACCGAATTATTGATGGCGAAATTTACCAGAGGTAGAAAGTGGCACCAACTCAAGAACAGGTGGACGTGTCTTCGAAGGATCTCTTCGAGGACGCGAATTCAAGTTATATTTGACCGTCTGTGTAGGGATGGTCAGAATGAACAGCTTCAGACGCGATCCAAAAGATCGGAGCACGGATTGCCAAAACTCCGCCGTTAACCGAGAGTCACGGTCGGATACGAGTTCACGGGGTAACCCGTGGAGGTGAAATATCGTGTCGATGAAAACACGAGCACATTCCTGTGCCGTAATCGAATCAGGTACTGCAGCAAGATGCACCATCTTGCTGAACCGGTCAACGAACACAAGAATACCAATATTCTTGTGGTCGTCTTCGGGGAAAGCAAAGACGAAGTTCATTGAAACGGACTGCCAGCACTCTGCCGAAACAGGTAGAGGCTGTAAGAGAGCACGGGAAGAAGGACTAGGATTCACTATTTGATAGATCTGGCACGCGCAAATGTAATTGCGCACAAACTGACACTTGGCGGGGCGAGTAAATGTCACGACGTACCGCTAATTGAGTATTATCACGGCCACGATGTTTACATGTTGGTGCATCGCGACATTAGAGATGAAGAGCAAATTTGAAACTATCAAGAGAGGAAAAACAGCACGAAGCGTGTTGTCGTAAACGGATGTATAGTACAGCAATCCGTTGCGTACCGTGTGCCGATTTGATGTGGAACGGTACAGCGCTGGTCAATATTTATACAATGTACGAGTTGGATTACCAGATGATCCACCACGAAGATATATATTTACCGTGTAGACCTTCCTTACGTCTCATAGTAACGTCGACGCCGGTATACTGAATGATAGGGCGGCAACAGTGCGCAAGGCCTCATTGGTGACTTGAGCAGCCG